TTGAGAGATAAGTCAAAAATCAAATACATGTAAGGCGGAGAAAACCTCCAGGACGGACTTAGTGGAAAATAATATGAATATTTATGTGGCATTTTTCCACTCTTGTGACAATTGTTATCATTTTTTTTTCTTTTGGGCTTAACACCTTTTATGTCTATTCAAAAAACAGATTGCTGAGTAGGTTTTATAGAAAAACGTTGATCACAGGTCCAAGAAATGTAAATTTGTCGTTTCCAAGGAGACTCAAGCTTTAAAAGTCACCAAACTTCGGCGGCCATTTGTTCGATAATTTTGCGAGGAGAGCTCCTCTCGTCGTGGCGCAAGCTAGATCACTCGTATAATCGTAGAGATTGTGATACTCTTGCTAAACTAGCATCGATTTCTTTGTGATTAGCCCCTTGGCCTGGCTCGCACTAAGTCACTTCCGTCCAGCCTGGTAACCACATGTAACCGTAAAACCCTTTTAAGGCCCATTTCCCAGATACTATACGTCGATACACATTTTACTTTCGCTCTCAGTTGCTCCCGGGGAAGCTTACGTGACGAAACGTCGAGCCTATCCAATAAAAACAAATTTTAAACATGTTAAATAATATTTTTTTGTCTGTAAATCAAGCAAGACTCTCCCCCCTACTCTGCTTATTTTACAATGATGGTGAAATCAGGATTGGAGATGATTTTTTTTTTTTTTTGGTTTCCTTAATGGGATTGGTGGACTCTACAAAGAAATCTCCGATCGAGAGCGAGGCTCTTTTTCGGCTCCATTGTCATTATACTCAGAAGAGCTTCCACTCGTCCAAATAACCCCATTCGAGTTGCAATTGTTCCTGGACATTCGAACATATGTTTGACATCCTCCTTTTCATTGTTGCATTTTCAGCAACCTGGGTTGAGCTCTTCATTCACAAAGTTCTGATACCATCTCATACTCCAACGATGGTCCGGCTGCAGTCTCGCTAGCTCAACCTGGTCCCCGCGACATGTGATTGAGGATGATGATGATGATTGATGATGATGTCTAATCATTATCCTTTTTCACTAATTTTGGTTTCAAGAGCACATTGTATTGCTGTATTATTGTTGTGGGCCTATTTCTGGCACAGTACGGTTCACACTTTAGTTGATGTCTATGTTAAAATATAAATTGTCAATTGTTTTTACAACTTAACTCTATCTGTACGCCCTGGGGTCATTTTGTACCCCCGGGGTTCTATTCTTTATATTTTAGA